TAAATAAACAGATAAATAAATAATAACTAGAATAGGGCCAGGAACATAGCTCAGCGGCAGAGCTCCTGCCTGGCAAGTACAAGGTCCTAAGTTTGATTCCCAGTACAAAAAAATAAAGTAAAATATGATCTCTCCCTGAAATGGCTTTGAATGGTGGTCAGCCTGCTTCTTTGCTCTTGATTTAGCTGCCCCTGGATTTGAGCTCCTTCTTCCTTTGGCTCAGTGGGAGGGACTCGGTCCTTCTCTAGGAGGGGGTCCATCCGCTTGTTGTTTGAGCCAGGGTCTCACCATGCAGGTCAGACTGGCCTTGAGCTCACTTTGTAGCCCAGGCTGGTCTCAAACTTGCAGCAATCCTCCTGCCTCAGCCTCCCGAGTGCTGGGATTACAGGCGTGCACCACCATACCTGGCTTCGCTTGTTGATAAGCACAGTCTTTCAGCAGGCTGTTATTCCTCCCAGCTCCCAAAGCCAGTCTGGTGGTAAGAAACTAATTATTTTTCCTGCTCCTCTAGTCTGCTGTCCTAAGGGAAATGAATCTTGCAGTGGTGACCAGCCAGCCGTAGAGCTCTGAGAAGCGGCTGCATCCCTGCTTCACCTAGGAGCTGTACAGGCTACTACCCTGGGGTGGGCCTGGTGGGGGTGGGGCGGTAGGACGCACGAAGCTTGGGAAGGCTGCTGCTGTCTTGTTTTCATTCAGTGGCACTGGGGGTTGAGCCCCGGCTGTCTATCACTAAACTACATCCCCAGGCAACTTTTCAATTTTTTTGGAAAGGGTCTTGCAGCATTGCCCAGACTGGACTCAAACTAGCAGTTCTGCTATTCTGCTGAATTTTGAGTAGATGAGCAGCCTTTAATGCTGTTTAAGGGAGGCTGCATTAAGATTAAGGGAGGTGCCAGGCGTGGTGCCATGTGCCTAGAACCCCAGCTACTCAGGAAGCCTAGGCAAGCCTAGGAAATTTAGTGAGACCTCGTCTCAAAATATGAAAGGACTTGGGTATGGCTGGGCAAAACAAACAAATATCAGTAAGGAAAATTTGAAAGGCAAGAAGGCATTTTCCTCTTGGCTGGGCACTTCCTGACATACCTTGCTTCCTGCCTGGCTTACTCCTTGCAAGTTTCTGGGAGAGCTACTTCCTGGAGTCCAGAGAGGAGCTGGGAAACATCAGGGCGTAAATGAGCAACGACAACACACTCTGGAGGAAAAGGGAGGCTCCTCTGAATTTCCCTTTCCTGCAGGTCTGCCATGGTTTTTCATGATGTCATCCATTCATCATTGTGAGCTGACCGGCCAGCCCGGGCTTGGGCGGCATTCAAGATCAGAAGGGGAGAGAGAGCCCAGGACAAATGTGTAAAAGGCCCCTGAGCATGTGCAGATATGTTGACATCAGTTCCACATAGAAAGACTTGGAAATCGAAGAAGACAGTAAAAGTCACGAAGTCTTATCCATCCTTCCCTTCCCTGAATGCCTGGGAAGAATTCAGGGGCCTCCTGCCTGCGGATGCAGAACTGAACTCCGGAGTGGGCCTAGGTGTAGAGAAGGGACTGCTCTGCCAGATGGTTCGTTCTCCAGAATTCAACCTATTTCCGGACTCAGTGGTATTTGAAAGCAACTTTGTCCAGGTACTCTCGGGCAGCTCAGAGCAGCACTCCTTGCTTCCTCTAACCCTGTTCCCAAGATGTGACTGAGAATTCCTCAAACAGGAGTTGAGTGAGAACTGAGGCAAGGAGAATCAGCGGGCTGGAACCTAAGACCACCTGCGTTCACCAGGGCTGTGCAGAGCCCCGGCCAGATCTTCTCTGGCAGGTGTTGTCACCGGGGAGAGAGGTCAGATCATTCTGCCCTGAGTGGAGGACACAGTATTTGAGACCCCAGTTTACTTCATCCTCCGGGGTGTCACCCAAAGCCAGATGACTAAGGCGGAAGGGAAAGGAAATGGCTCGTGAGGGTTAGGGATAGAAACGCTAAGAGGGAAAGACAGAAAGAAGCAGGGGCCTGAGAGACCTGGGCTCAGGTTCCAGGCCTCTGCTTCCTCTTGGGCAGGTGTCATTGTGCTGAGCCCGTTTCCCCTGTGGTAAGAGGATTGGATTGGTTGGGGGATTAAGTGAAAATACTGCAAGGTTAGTGCCTGGTCTCACAGGCACTGGATGCATTTTTGTCTGCTTGCCCGAGCTCCTCCTGGCCAGACAGAATCTAGGATAAACGGAGCTGTGGAGTTGGAAAGTCAAGGTGCAAAAGATAAAAGGGCCTCTCAGAGAAGGGACTAAAGGAGAAATTTTTCAAAGAAAATCCAAGGGGCAGTTCAGGGAGAGTTTATAAACCCATGATAGATATCAGGGAACTCCTGAGTTAAAATCTCATGGCAATTAATTGTAGATTGTTTAAATACTAATACTATAGTTATTAAAAACCAATATGAGTTAAAACCCATATTGTTCTCAATAACCAATAACATATGTTCTCAATAAGCAGTATCTGCCCCCCCCACTACTTCCAGCAGACATTTGACAATACTTGGGGACACTTTTGGTTGTCACAGTTTGAGTCAGGGTTGCTATTAGCATCTAGATAATAGAAGCGAAGGATGCTGCTAAAAATTTTTCCAAATGCACCATACAGTCTCCCTCTGCAACACAGAGGTGAGAAACCCCAAGCTAAAACTTACCACTGCTTCTGCCACATGCTCAGGCTACGCCTGGGGTGGGTGCTGCATTGCAGGTCAAGAGGGGCAGAAACTGGAAAAATATCTACAAAGCCTCCAACACCATGGCCCTCGGGGTGACCTCCTCTGTGCCCTGCCTGCCCCTTCCCAACATTCTCCTCATGGCTAGTGTCAAATGGCATCAGGGGCAGAGTCAGACATGGAACAGACCAGCTACAGCCCCAAACATCATCCTGAAGAGGTGAGTAATGTAGGGGAGAACGAGGCACAGGAGATGGGGAGCGGGGACGCAAAGGGACCCAACCGCTTGGTGACTAAGATCACGGTAGGGGGACAGCAAAGAAGACACTGGCAGTGACATTAATTTCTGTATACAGCAGCAACCTAAGCCAGGTAGCGCCCTGGAAGAGCAGAGGCCACATGTCGCAAAGGGAGGTGTTCTGTGGACAGGATGAGGCGCCAACCTCGAAGTCCACCTGCCCTCTTGCTGTGCTCTGCCACTGAATTCACAGGAACCTCTTCTCCTTTGGCCAAGGGTCAAGGAGCGGGTGAGGCCTGGCAGATCTGAGCCAAGTTCTTTCTAGTCCTTGTTGTGTAAGTAACTAGACTCAATTTTTTTTTTTTTTGAGACAGAATCTTGCTATGTAGCTCAGGCTGGCCTCGAATTCATGGTGATCCCCATGCCTTGGTCTCCCAAGCGCTGGGGTTATAGGCATGCACCACCATGCCTGGCTCAAATAATCTTTGAGTCACAAGTCATTTGCTGTATCTCAGTTTCCGTATCAATAAAGTAAATGAGACAATGTCCCACTTAGAACTATAACATATGGTAGCATGATTGTCTGGGATAAAACAGCCCTGCTGGATGTTTAAGTGTCTTTCAGCAATATGTAGGGTGTGTCTCATGAATCTCTAGATATTCCCCAGAAGTCCAGGAAATGCCTTCATTTCTCCATGCTGCTCCTGACAGACTTGTCCTTGATGTTCTTGGTGTACCTACAGCAAGTCCAGCCCAGTTCTATCTAACCAATTAGACTCAAAGCCAGCTCCTTGAACTTCAGCTCCTTTGAGAAACATTCTCTGGAGGCACCGAGGTCAGTGAATGGACAAGCTGGACAGGTGGGCCAGCTCCCTTTGCACCACCAAGAAGGAAACTACAGAGTCTCATGAGCCCACCCACTTACTGCTAGGCTAGCTCTCTCAAGGAGGGTCCAGGGAACAGCAGCATGAGAATCCTGCCGACTAAAATGCAGATGCTAAGGCTACACTTCAGACTTAGTGAGTCTGAATCTTTGGGGATGTCTTCAGGCATCTGCCATTTGAGCTTCCCAGGGTTATCTGTTCTCCTCACCATGCTAAGAACACTCTCTTACCCCTAAAAGGCTGGTTCCTCAAGGAGACACCCCTTGTTTTAATAAAGATAATATAGGATCAGAAGCAACAAAGTTGTCCGTGTGTCTTCTCTCCTGCCTTCAGGATTCTCCCATTGAAGTTTGTGGAGCTGCAGGTCTGTGACCACCTCCAACGCATCCTGCAGTTGAGGACGGTCACTGAGAAGATCTACTACCTAAAGCTCCACCCAGACCACCCTCAGACTGTCTTCCAATTCTGGATCCGACTGGTCCAGATTCTGAAGGAGGGCCTATCCATCACCACCAAGGACCCTAGGATTCTTGTCACTCATTGCTTGGTACCCAAGAACAGCAGCAGCCCATCTGAAGACTCTAAGGTAAAGCACCATCACCACCCGCCTCGAGCTAAGGCCAGAGCGAAGAGGTAGGGCTGAGACAGCTGGCAAGTGGTAGACTCAGCTGTAGGCCTTTTGCAGGCAGCTTTATAGAGATATCATTCATAACCTTAAAATTCATCCCGCGTAAGTGTACATTCTAATTTTTTTATTTTTTGTCTTTTTGAGACAGGGTCTCGACGTGCAGTTCAGGTTGGCCTTGAGCTCACTTTGTAGCCCAGGCTGGCCTGGAACTCGCAACAATCCTCCTGCCTCAGCCTCCCGAGTGCTGGGATTACAGGCGTGCACCACCACGCCCAGCAGGTGAAAGTGTACAATTCGACACTGCCAGTGAATGTATACAGTTGGCTGCCATCAACCACTGCCACAATCCAGTTTTGGACCATCTCTGTCACCCTGAAGACTTCCTTGTCCCTAGTGGCAGTCATTCCCTATTCCTATTCCTAGCTCTAGGCAACCATTGTCTTTCTTAAGCATTTCATGTAAATGAAATCTTACACTTGGGCATGGTGACCCATGCCTATAATTCCAGTACTTGGGAGGCTGAAGCAGGAAAATCACTGTGACTTCAAGGCCAGCCCTAACTACATAGCAAGACCCTGTCTCAAAAAAAAAAAAAAAAAAAATCTTACAGTACACAGTCTTTTGTGTGTGGACTTCAAGAAGTAAAATGTTTTTGAGGTTTGAGGCAGAGTCGTGGGCTATCAGTAGTTCATTCCTTGTGGTTGCCGAGTGGTATCATGCCATAGCATAGATAAATTACATTCTGTTTAACCGGTTGATGTACATTTGAGTGATCCAGTTGGGCTGTAATGAATAATGCTGCCATGAACATTTGTGTAGGTTGTTATATAGTCTTCCTTTCCTTTGTCTTGGCTAGATTTCAGTGAATGGTAATACTGGTTTGTTTATTTATTTATTTGGTACCGGGAATCGAACTCAGGACCTTGCACTTGCCAGGCAGGCGCTTGTGCCACTGAGCTACATCCCCGGCCCTTTCATGGACTTTTACTTATTTATGTGTGACCTTTGGTGAAATGTGTTTCAAATATTTTGCCCATTTTTAAACTGGGTTTTGGCTTCTGTAAGAGTTCTTTGCATATTCTGGGTACAAGTACCTTATCAGATATATAACCCGAGAATGTTTTCTCCCAGTTTGTGAACTTTCATTTTCTTAATGATGTCTTCCTTGTCTTTTTGAGACAGGGTCTCACTATGCAGTTCAGGTTGGCCTTGAGCTCACTTTGTAGCCCAGGCTGGTCTCGAACCCACAACGATCCTCCTCCCTCAGCCTCCTGATTACAGGTGTGCACCACCACGCCCAGCTATCTTT